ACAGTCTAGATGGTGACTTCGTAGAAAAGAAACTTTTCTTCGCTGCAAGTGTCTTCTTAATAACTACTACGACAAAATGTGTATATTTAGTGGTAATTTTGCCACTGAAAGTAGCTTCCTGAACTCATTGTATCAATAGCCGCCGGTTATTTTGGTCCAGCATAATCTATCAACGAGCACTGCGAAATAATCTATTAATAAATATGAAAATATTTGAGTGTTATTTAAACAGACAGAGTCTTGCATGGTATTTAAGGTCGAGGGAGGAAATCACAGTGTTTGCTGAGAGCACATTATCTTTTTATATTTTTATTTTGATTTTGTGGCAGTACATCCCGGTTACACTCATGAGCAATGAAAACAAGGCGTGAACCGTTTCACTTCATGCACTATTAGACTTGAATGCAAGGCTTTATGCTGATGTCTACAGGAGTGAATGTGAGCTGATGCGAATAACCAATTGTCAGCTAGTGGACGGTTTGTCCCAATCAAATAATTTATCAACACCTAGTCAACTGCTTGCCATCGCATTACTGATAATGCACGAGCAACGCATATAGCTATTAGAGTTTTAGGAAAGTAGGAAATTTGATTGTGTTGTAATTAAGTGATGAAATGGTCAGTGGTGAGTTAAATTATGACAATAATACAATACTAATAACTAAAGATAACAAAGAAATACGAAGTTACATTTGAAGACTTCATTACGAATGGTGTAAAGTACATCTATGTCATTTTAGCATTCATTCTAGACAAGTCCTTTTCGCGGTACGGGCAGTTGAAGAAAATTAAGAACGATGGTTGAAGTTTGTAAAATTCGTGAAGAATTTGAACGCCAATAACAATAAAGTAGGTTTGCATACACAGAACTCTAAAGCTGAATAGTAATGTAGGAAAGCTGTTTTAAATCTACCAATAGCACTCTTATCTAGACTTGTTATTCAAGAAATAGAAAAAGAGGCGAAATCATGAGGTAAAAATGTGTAAACTTGTTTTCAGTTGCACAATAAATTACCATGTAGCTCAGAAACTATGAAATGAATTAATTTTGTGTGAAATATTTCAACTTTGGTGACTTTTGATACTCACAACCCAGGTGATGCTGATACCTGCCGACCTCTTGTTGTGGATAACAGATTGTTTGCATACAGCATAAGTGAAGTAAGTGTGAATTATTTGTTAAACAGTGCAGAAGAAAGTAAAATCACATCTGTTTATATGACTTCTTAGTGCACAAACACTTCAGATTAATAAAACAGAATAAGCGATTCAAAGGCGATCAATTTTCTGGAAAGTCAAACTAACACCTCATGTTTCAATATGTGATAAGAACATTATTGTAACTGCATTCTACCAATTTATAATTACAATAGTAAAATTCACTCAATACATCTGTGAAAGGCATTCGAAGAATTAATTCCATCTGACATTTCAGCCAGGGAAAATTCAGTCATCCGAAACACATAATAATTCAAAAGAGATCAGTTCAACTTACCGTTTAACTGTGTGATAAGGAGCAACGAATATGTGAAACACCTATCAAAACAGTTAGATAATCAGTTTATCGGAATAGATATTATTCCTACAGGGGATACTCGTATTTTTGGAAGAGAAGATTTTGATTATGATCTTTAGAAATCAGTGAACATGCTCCGAATAAAACTTGAATATTGAAGTTATTATTCTTTATGTAGTCGAGAGGAAAGTTGCTACAATGTGATTTACAAGTAGATTCTAAAAACACATAATGTACATTGCATTCCTGAATGTTTTCTACCAACAAAACATGTGAAATTTGTAGTTTTCCCTAGACAGCATGCCTTACAGTTCCTGACGGTCCTAGTTCTTATACCTCACTATCAAGACACTGTCTACATTGTCTCATGAACACCCTTTTACAATGATTTTCGACAGCAGGACACAGAAAACAGAACTAATCAACTCTAGAACACAATACTACTTCTGAACAAGCAGCACCGGTAGACTTGATTCAGCATCATTCATCAAGTAGTGTCAAAGGGATCAAAATAGTTTCGCCTACAACTTCATGCAACGAAAGCTGTTGTGATCCGTGAATGAGTAATAAGAAAATAAATATTTCAATTCGTGAAATGTTATAACATTCGACCTAGGTATTTTTATCCACTAGCAGACTGTTTTCACGCCAGAGACGTCATTGCGGCGTGAATATATTTAAGACTGACAAATAAAGAACTATTTCAATCCTCAATAATGAATAAAGCATAAATCGCCTGATATCAGTGACAAAGGAGCTTACATTCTCTTACAATTTGAATCCATCAGTATCTTTCAAAAGCATTATTCATTTCCTTAAAGAATATGATAACTTGTACCCATCGTTGTAAGTGTGGATATTCAGTGATTTACACCAGTCTAATGGCGTAATCTCGGATTCCAAAACATAATCTTTTACCTGAGTTAACCCAAAGGATATTGTATCATCACCATCCTTTAGCAGTTCTGGAATCACTCCCTCAGGTCTCACCACTTTACTTCTATTCATTTTACAGACAGCCTTCGTAATCGCGGTTAGTGACACTCATCCAGGCAGGTGTTGGATGTCAGGCAATCGAAGAATGAGTGTAGGTCAGCTAAATTGCTAGTTAGTGATGTTCCGTGCAACGCTCTAAATGTATACCGTGATAAAAACTTTGGTTTCACGTTTTGTTACTATTTATTTCTCGAAAGCAATATCTAAAACTCATTCTTTTTCAATGTATTTGGCTTTCGTCGCTATTCACTGTTCACGGTGATTGTGAAGACTTTTCATGGCCTAACGTTTGAGCAGCATCAGCCCCTCATTATATTCAAAGAGCATTGCTGTTTTCACAGTGTGCTCGAAGATAAAACCTTCCTTCACTTAAACATAGAGAAGACGGAGATGATGAAGATAACCACGCTTCAATATCAACAGCGACAGCAACCGGCACTAATCCCCATCTACTGGAGAGATTCGGCAGAGGTTTATTCCTTCACCTTTCCCGCTAAAAACCACGGTTTCAGTCAAAGGTAGTTGGAACGGATGAAGTTATCAAAGTTAGAACCGGAAATCCGAGATACGCCCTCATTAACCAGAAACCTGTTTGGAAATCCTCTAAACTCCACCTCAGAATCAACAACAAGATTTGGATTTTCAAAACAAATGTCAAGTCAATCACTTCGTCAATACGTGCCAAAAACTTGCTTTGTGTGCGCGTCATGAAAAGGATTTTCAACTAATTGTAGACTTTCAACAACATTTCCCCACTTTGCTGGCCAGTCAGGAAGAATTGTCAACAAGAAACTCTGACTAAGAACACAGTAACCAAGAGCCGATTGGTCAACACATATATAAAAGAAAATAGAGAAGGATCTGGCATACGTTAAAGGAGGGCACTGAATGACATCTGGCTGAATGCAGGCCATCACTGGAGTGGAATCGCGGTGGTAAGAGACGAGTGGGTCGTCACTGCGAGTGTCACATATTGGAGATCATGCGATTTGGAGTAGATGAGAGATTGTGAGCAGTCGTCGTCTCGTCTGAAGAGGACAGCAGAAAATATCAGAAAGTGGAAACTGGTTGTTGAAGTCCTTTGTTATTCTACTCGGAACCCAAAGGAAAATTATTCAAAATAACTGAATTGGTGACAAAGATGTTTACCTTCCAGTACAATTTATATCTGTAAATAGTGTTCCGAAATACATTCCATCGCTCAAAATGTTTATTTTTCCATTGTTTACTAGATATGAACAAAGTAAATTATTCGAAATTGTTTGTTAATAAAAATATGCTGTTGCCACTGTATGAAAAAACATTAATCTCACTGTATTGCTTAACATCTTTTTAATGCCTATTTGTATAAACATCGATTCCAAACATTTTTTTAAATTATATGTTGCCTAAAATTGTGGTAAGCCTTTTTCTAATATATATACTATTTTCATATTAGTCTTTTTATTAGATGTATCACAAAGTGAAGCAGTATTATTTACTGGATGACGACACCTTTCGAACATAATCTATTATAGTTCGTAATCATATAAATTGTATTGAAACGACTTCAAAACTTGAGTTTTATTGTTTTCTTAGTCCTTTTCCATTTGGCGGAGGGGTAGTAGAATTTTCCAGATATCTGGGTTGGCAGGTGTTGAATCATTCCTATTACACTTATTCTCTTCAGTTGATTCGAAAAACAAAGCTTCTTTTTTCAATCTCTCCCTCCACCCTGTGACAGTAAATTTTAAAACTGTCATCCCATCCCATCTTATTGTATGGTTGTCCGTAACTGCATATAGGGCTATAGCTGAACTATTCTCTAGATTTCTTATCTTATTCGGGTCAACCAATCTAGATTTTGCTTGGTTTTCATGTTCGGCTAGTCTGACTGTCCCCGTTCTACTACTTTGACCTATGTATTCGACCTCAAAATCATTCCAGAAGGAAATAAGATAAATTAAATTGTTTTTGTTTTAAAAGGCTCTACAGGACTGATACTATAACCGATACAGCTTGTTTCTAATTGAGTTTGTCAAGGGTTTGAATGCCAGCCACTTTTATTCCTGCCTTGCTAAGAATTCTGCGTGAGGTGGTTTCCGATGTTCCTTCCTTGTATGCAATTACTACTGGTGATTTAGATTCCTTATTGTTGATGCTGTCTTGAGCACATTTGACAAGCATGTCATTATTATTATCACTACCACTACTATCATTATTTATTTTATTTTCACATTTCCCTACAAATTTCCTGACTAATTTATCATAGTAGCTATTAAGTTTCAGGGCTTCTTTTATGTGTATCACTTCCTGTCTTAGATTTTCCTTAGTACTACATAGTTTTTGTGCTCTGTCACTTAAAGACTTCATCAATCCTATTTTTTACTGACATAGGATGATGGGATGATCGGAAGTTCAAATATCTGTTCGAATGTGTGGATTTCCTGTATACACTAGTATATAACTTCCCATCTTCTTTCTTTTTTATGCTACAATCTAACATTTGCCCCCCCCTTTCGTGACTTTCCGATTCATAAGTGAATTAAATAGCTTTTTTTAACGAATCAACTGCAAATACATGTATAGGAATGATTCAAGACCTGTCGCAGATAACTGGAAAATTCTAGCACCCTTAAGATTGCAAATAGGATAGAACAAAGAAAACTATAGAACTCAAGTTTCCAAGTAGTGTGAGCATAGTTGATATGATTATGAACAATAAATTTTGTTTGAAACCTCGTCATCCAGTAAATAATAATACTGTTTCACTCACTGTGTGATACATCTACTAAACAAACTAATGTGGAATTACTTACCACTACAGTGCCCAAGTTTTGGACATATTAAATGAAATATTTTCAGTGAACAAATGAAATGTACTAAAATTATAAAATACGTTATATTTATGAGTAAAAGACATTTTATTTCATATTTTAGTACTTTCATCATTTCATCATTTGCTGTTTGTAATTCCCCAAATTGAAGTCTACGATGAGCCGGGCATTTGCAGCGAAATACCTAAAATGAAAATGTTTACATCGTTCTCGCATTGTTTTTACTTATACATGTTCTATTTTTTCCTCCAAGCAACGGTGGCAACGCATTTAAAAAGCAACCCCATGTGTCATTTAGTCGAAGACAAAGGGCTAACCTGCAAAGGGAATAGGGTTAAGAGAAAAAAGCAATTCAAGGGCTTTCATCAGTTTTTTGTAAATGTTAAATAAATAATAAACATTATGAAGTGTTGATTATCTATCAATTACTGACTGTTGCCCCATCGACACTTGTGATTTTCGCGCTGACATATCTGAAACAGACAAATTGGTCTCACTTTTAAGTATGCGACTCTATTTATCTACGTTAGTGGTGGTCAGTAATGAAATCGAGAAGATGCATTATATCACTCAAAGTTATTCTTAGACAAGAGAAACGGTTTCTTAGATGTCTGACTACTGAAATGTTAAGTTGCTCCATAGTGACAGATAGATTTCGCCTCAGAAATAAGAAGTTCGCTTATTCATAAGTCTAACAACAAAAAATGATGGTTTCGGTGACAAAATCGTCAATGATATGAGCATCAAACCAACACATGTCAGTTATCAGGACATTCTTCGATTTAGGAGTTACAAAATCACAGTCAGTATTCATTTAAAATTGGCGGCTGACTTAGAGTTTTCCATCCATCCATCCATCCTCAGAAACACTTAAGGATTTACATTGGAGATGAGATTTCATTTTTGCAAATCATACAGTTTTATACAATAATATTAACTGATGACCACCTTTCGAACATAAACTATTGCTAATAATCAAATCAAGCCACTAACACAACATTTTACTTCATTTATGCAGATGTGTGAAATTGAATAGATATTTGAGTGAATGCACTGCTTGCATTAACAAACAACCACACTATAGGGTGTGAGGTTAAGGGCGAAGATTCTAAGAAGTAATCTAGGTACGTGAAGAGACACTGATTACTGAATCCTGCCTGGTTTATTGAGTCTACACCCAACATAACACATGCAACAGAAATGAATCAATACAAATACCATAAATAGTACTACCACCGATCAGATCGGAGGAGGATAATAAATAATCTTAAAATTCTATTTCAATTCAACCGCATCACAACACTCTAATAAGTTACTTATTATGATTATAAAAAATATAAAATTTCCCATCTGATTGTAATTGATCAATAACACTCATATTGTTATTTCTGAATGTTCAATATTCCATTTTGATTTCTATTCAAATATCTAATCATCAATTCCACACATGTATATAAATGAAGCAAGGAAGTTGTGTGAGTGACTTGATATGATTATGAGCAACAATAGTTTGTGCTCGAAACGTCGTCACATCAGTTAATATTACTGTATAACACTGTGTGATTTAACAAAGTGAAATCTTATCCATAATGGAGTTATACTCTACCACAGTGTTCAAGTTTTAACCTTATATGAATAATACCTAAGGCTGTGACTGCTCGGATTATCTTGTGGTCAAAATATTGTGGTAGCTTAAGCTTGATAAGAAGCTTTTCTTTGGTAATGGAGTATGCACAAAACAGATCGAGTTCTAACTTCAGATATGTATTTGACAAATGACCATATTGCATTATTCAAATTATATACCATTGAATTAGAAAATGAGTAGATTAGGCCTTGTAAGAATCCTTCATGGTGTGATTCAGCCTTTTATCAAATTGGTAAAACGAGAGATTTCAAATATGAATTGGAATAACGTTCTTTCGAATGATTCCAAAATGTTTTCGAGTGAGAGTCACATGGTGTTTGTCAGGAGAATTTTTTCAGTTTCTCACAAGTTAATTTTGCTGGATGGCAATGTTACATATGTCGAACGAGTATGACTACACAGATTGAAAATTGCGATTTAAACCACTCAGTCAATAGAATGTTCATTTGCTGGTGTCGATAAAAAGCGATTTCGTAACTTCATATTTCATTCCGGATAAGCTTTCACTGATATTTTCTCGACTGTTGGAATAAGGCAAAAACGCATATCTAAATGCAGGGAAACGTGCAAAGACTCGGATAAACTCACCAAACATCCAGAATGAATCCTCTAGAAGTTGAACAGATTTCTGATTAAAATTGAATGCTTTAAAACCACATAGAGGTAAACAATGTGCCATCTTTTCACAGAGACGCTTGCATTATATTAAACTAGCATCCGTTGGGTAACGCGTGTGTCTTTTCTATGATTTGATTGAGGTGTGTTAATCACACGTATATCACGATCACTGAGTCAGGCAATTTACTTTGGTTTTATGTTAGATTTAAAAACGAGTCAATTTAATAAAAAATGTAAGTGCCCGTCAGCAAAGTGTCATTTGATTAAGAAAATATGCTGAACATGAGACTGATGGATTTTACCCTATACGCTTAGAAAACAGCCACATCCTATGGAGACAAATTTAGACACAGTATACACTTCTGAAGACTACGATAATAATAATAATAATAATAATAATAATTGCTTTATTCCAAAAACAGTACTCATGATACAGCAAGGAATTTTCAGCATTTCAGTACAATATTGCATCTAATTTACCCAAAAACGACAAAAAACAATTAAAAATACACAATACATAATAGTAATAAAACGATTGTTGTAGCAGCTACGTAGCAAAATACTGTGTGCCATACGGAGAAAAATATGTATAAAGTACACCTCTATCGACCACTTCCTTCCGAGTTGTCTTCTGTAGTGCATTGACAATTCGCAATTGCGCAAACGATACGTAGATGAAATTGTTATGAATATTGAACACTGGCACCTGGCTATCAAATTCGCTCTAGAAATGGAATGCGAATCCGAAACTCACGTTCCTGATGTGAAACTAACAAGACGACCGGACAGAATCTTAGTAAGGTCAATCAATAGGAACCCTACTTGGAACAGTCAATTAAACAAGTTTCTACAGTTGCGTACCTATTAAGAGGAAGCAAAATCTGAATAAATATCTTGCCACTTGAACCCGACTTATCGGAAGTCCTGACGACCCGAAGTAGAACTAGATCTTCTGAGAGAAACCTTCACCTAAAATGGATACAGACAAAGATTCATCGACAAGAATATCAACTGAAAGGTCCAAAGGTACAAAGGATCACTTGTTTCAAAGAAGATACTTTACATGAGTCTGAATCTCAAGGGAAACTAAGATTGCGATATGCTCAAGAGCAAAATGTCAGCATTTTTGAAAGGAACATTCTTCTCAGTAGTGTTTCTCAGCAGTCTATTGATTTGCAGAAGCCTCAGACCGAGATCTTGCATCTTGCCACTTCTGTGTGCATATATATGTTCAAATGTTACTTTGGAGCCAGGCAAATTGGCCTTTCGATCCATGTCCTGTCCAAAAGGGTTTAAGGACACTATTCCATGTGGCTACAGAATGGCGATATTGGCTGAAAAATGAGTGCAATCATCAAACACCTCGTCAACACTGGTCATTCCATCTCCACAAACGCCTCCTTCAGAGTGGTCTACAAAGTGAAGAACAACCTACGAAAGGAAATACGATTTCGTCTCCTTTGTATTACTGAAGCCTTGATCATTCACTTGGTAAAACCAGAGTTAGGTTTACAAAATAAAATCATTGCAACAACCATGTTGACTTCTGCTGACTTGATATTTGTGTACTTGTTTTCTAATTACTCCTTATAACATTTTTAATTCGTAGAACTCTTACATAAGGTCATATTTTCTTTTGTTTCTATGTGCATCCTATTTACAACTCACTCATTAGACTATTCATTTTATTACGTAACTGAAATAAACTTATTCAACTTCTTCTTATTTATAAAACACAAAATAATCGAGCAAAGAATATTCATTCGATATTCTCCTCTTCTGGCTCTACAATTATATGTACATGTTAATACACTAAGAATATTCTAGATTAGTAGTCAATGACAACATTAGTGTTTTTTAAATAATATCGATTTATTAAGCAAGATCACGATGGAATTACGATTCATTAGGAAGCTTAAATATTATTAAAAAACATATAGTAGCAAATAGGATACTAAATAAAACTAGGAAAATTCCACAAAAATTCAGGATCACTCAAATCTGGATGGCCAAGGTAATGATAATGTCTGAACTAACTACTTTTAGATGTACAAATTAGGCTTATTAATGTAGATCCTAACAGCTTCATCAATATTTAGTAGTCGAACACTTAAGGCTAAATTGAGATTCGTAGTTATGCGGTAAATGACGCTGAAAGCCACGTTATTAACATCAATCTTGTGTTCTGTATCCACAAGATGAGTGAGATAGAATAGCACTGCGAATAGATTTTGTTTTGTCTTTTACGTAATTACTTTGCAGAGTTATGTTCGGAAATCCAACGAGAAACACGCCTAATTGATTAACATTATTAACTATGTATTTTACAAAGCATCACCATCCCTCTCGTATCAGTCTTCACCAACCTCCATTCATAGTCTGATTACTCACCACATTTCTGAAATGTCTTGACAACAAAAACCTGAAACAATCTTTATTCTTATAGGATAAAAGTGATGTACACACAAATAGAAAAATAGGTATCCTTCATTACTATTATACAGCAAGTTGAGTGAGTTCGCTGTCGAAAAGCGAAACTTCTCTGAGCCTTGCGTTTTGTTTTCACTAGTTTTCTCTAATAGTCTTAAGAATAATCTTAAGCCTTTTAGCTGATTCCAGCACATTGAAATGGATGCACAAAAGACTGTGATGAAGTTCTCAGCTAATAAACAATCCAAAATGTTTCACTTGGCGAAATAAATAAAAGGCATTTGACAGTCAATTGCTTTAAGTTTTTTGCACTATTATCATTTTGTGCAGAAGTGATGCAAGACCTAATTATTTTAGTATTAACGATACACGTTTTAAAAAAGGGATAAATATTCACTGAAAGAACATTTTGGGAATAGCTCTTATTGTACTTACTTCAAATTGAAGACAACTGCAATAATGAAGTAGCGAAAGAGTATTGGATAATAATCATAGATTGAAATGAAATGATGGGCATATATTAGTCACTGCATATTGTGTCACTTTGAAAAACAAATAAGGACTTCTTTGGTCGTCAGTGATATTAGATCTCCCTTATTGGAAACTATGTAACAATGTTAATGTAAGCGTTAACCGCAGTCACTTTATTAGGGTGAACTTCCATATCAGATGAGTTCATATTATGTTAGAAACATTGATAGAGTGTTGATCACTGGATGATACTTCATTCCTCAAAATCTTATGAAAATACATATTCACACGACTTCCTAACTTGCTTCACTCCTCCTTGGATCTAAATATATTTATCGATAAATCTAGGATCACTATTTCGTCATTTCTACTTTATCATCTTGTGTTGATTCAATGCAAAAGTCTCTGTCTACTTTTGGCACGTCACATACTCCTTTGTATTTGAATGTAATTGGCATAAAAACGCAGTATTGTCATCGGTACTCCATCTTTATATGTTTAGCGAAATGCACTGATCGAAAATGAAACACTCTCTCGAGTTTTAAACATGAATTGTAGCAGCCACAAATATCTTATAATCTACAAAGCCTTTTTTGCTAATAAAATACCAAGTTAGTTATACTGTCACTGACTTGCCATTTGAAATGTAACGTTACTTCAACTGGAAATGTTGGTTAGTCGGGTTAACGTCAGATGAATGAATTATGGAGTCTTTTGTTCATATTACAGATACATGAAACATAACATCAACTGTCACTGTAATTTCGACTACAAAACACTGTAGCTTCTAATGTGTTTGATATTATACTCTTATGAGTAAACAGTGCTGAGGTTTTAGTGGATCTGTAGTAGGAAAAATGAGGCCATATTATCTTCTGGTATCTCCTTTAACAACTATATCTTTGAAAGTCCGCAGACGTGAGAAAAATGTGTTTCTTTATTCTCATTTTGATGTCAATACCATATCAACTGCAGCCTCCAGGAGACTTTGCCATTGGGTAAATTCGAAAGTAGGCAAGTGCGATTTCAGTTAATCAGAGTCATATTTTTTCTCACTAGAAAAATAGTGAAACTATCGGATTATTGCGTGTATTCAGCTATAATAGAGTGACGTGAATGACTTAAATACATCAAAGCTGTGCGTGTCACAAGTTTTAACATTAACCATGAATTATCAGTGGTTTTAAAGAAGCTAGAATGAGCCATTTTTCTGGTTGCGAAACATGCTTACAATCTGACTGCACAACGAGTGAGTACTGCTGAGGTGTATAAATTACAACGTGTAAGTATTTTCTCAATTGCTATCAGTCTGTTTGATAAACTACTCCTGTATAAGTTTTCAAAAATACCCAGTTACCTGCCTCTTGGCCTGTGAAATTATGGAGAGAATGCAGGAGAGTATGAATGAACTGACGCATCCAAGTCTCTGAGCATGCAAAAAAAGAAAATGTTTGAAATGTTTCTACTTATTCAACCACCTGTCTTCCAAGGCGCCTGCTGACTGCCTGAAAAATCATTGAAGATACTCAAATAGGTTTCGATAACCACGAAGGATTAATTTACTCGAACCTCCTTCTCGTATATTCGTAAACAATCCAATAATTATTACCACATTCGGTAGTTACTGCAATTTGTCACGTATTTCTGCTCAATTTTACTAACAGTAACCAAGTGAATTAGAAACTCTGATAGCTGTTTTCCAGAAGAATGCAGGTAGAGATTCTTGGTCTACAGTTTTGACATTCTCGATGTTAACAAACCACTTGATATACGTTCACTCTAACCACACCCACATACATATATAATACTTGTGCAAATCTACATCTTTAGTTATTGAATTCATAAATGAAAAAGTAAATTTAATGCCCACAAACAAACAATATCAAATGTCAATATAAAATAACCTGAACCCATTTTATTCTGCACTACTGTTTGTTCATTCTTATTCTAAATTCATGAAGGGAAAGACATGAATGAAATCAAATGTCATTGGTTATTCCCTATAAAAGCTACACATATGATTTAGATATTATCATTATGAACAAATGGTAGTTAGCGAAAATAATTCTGCGTGCGGTTGCTTTACATTCTAATTTATTGGAAATGTCTACTGCAAACCTGGTTTATCTTTCTCTTACAAGATTGAGTATAATTTAAAACCCTAATTGACAGCCAACGTCAGGACATTTTCTGAACCAAATTTTTCTTTTGGATATATATGTGTTTGGCTTCTCAATTTAGATCATAACAGCCGGCTCCAATAATATATGTAATAGACGGACACTTAAGGTAAAGGTTAGACTTACTGGTATGCGGTTAGTGACTTTAGAAGCTTCGTTAACATCCTGCGTGAAGAACAAACAAAATCCATTCATAGCTGTATTCTATCTCATTTCGTGAGTGTAGAACACAAAATTTATATTAATGAGTCATTCGACGTTATCTACCGTATGCCAACTAATGTTAAATTCGCCTTAAGTGTTCGTCTAGTATACATATTGCTGATGCCGACTGCTGCGATCTACGTTAAGAAACCCAACTTATACATCAAAAAGAAGAAGTTGGTTTAGACAATATCCCCACCTTGACTGCCAATCAAGGTTTTAAATGACCCTCGATTTAATGTAGAAATCTCTTTAATTTTCTCTGATATTCTATTCACTATTACATTATAATTTATGCATCTCTATAGGATATTGCATCGATGCTACAGGAGTTCAGCTGCATTCAGATTAACTTGGTACGTCTAAGGCTCACCATATTGTGAAAACATTATCAATTAGTGTTGTATAGTGCAGAGTTTTACATGTCAGAAAAGGTTTTACAGAATAAAACAATGTAACAGCGTCCCTACTATCATCAATACTCACAAACGTACCGCTGACTTCATGTAATAGGAGTGTTAATGGTAATATGACAAATCCAAGTAGAGTAGTACTGAATTTCATCACTTCGAAATTCTTTTTATTATCTTCCTGTGTACATGAAAGGGTACTGATTAAATTTTCATTTTAGTGGTGTAATGTATCAATTTGTATTGCATGTCTGCATCTCGATCATAATTATACTGGCGAACTATATACCAACCATTTCTTATTGGTAAACATGATTATTCGATTTGAAAACAATGTGCTTTTTTAACTGAACAAATATGTTTAATATATGTCATCATACTAACTTTAGTGACTTTGGTTATATGTCCGAAATTTATTCAAAAATGAATACGTGTCAATCAGCCAATTCCGTATTAGAGACCTGCAGAAATATTGTCTGCCTCATAATTTAACTTTATTGAGTGATGATCAGATGAAACTGGCACCAAGTGAATCGAGAAGAAATTAAATTGTGACATGAGAATATGTCCCAATTTCATTTCTATCAAGTGGATTCAAGTATTTGTTAAACCATTTTAACGCTGAGTATGGCAAAATCTAAGAGGTTTGGCTTGAGAGTACGTATTAGGCCTTCAAAAGCCGAAATCAGTATGTCTGTCTAACTCTCTGATTTCAAACAGAACTTTGCATTGGCGTGTAGCGATTCGAATCAGCCCACCTCACTCAGCTCACAAAGCCAGAAACGAAAGTTAAAAGAAACGCAAAATGGAGGCAGTAAACAGAGATATGAGGCAGAAAGAAAAGTAATATCGGGGAACAATATAGTTTTATTAGGTATTATAAGTCATAAAGAGTGGATGCATCTGCGCCAGCCATTGAGAACGGTCACTATGAGCTACCAATATCCACGCTGAAAATTCCACACTTTTACCAAAAATACAGTGTGGAATTAAGCTGTAATCAAAAATAAATAAAATAAATAAAATATCACCAATTGTATCCACCCACTGGTTCTTACCACCCCGAGAACCTCAACCAGTCAGGACGTCTACACTTCCCTATGTGGCTTAAACTAACAGTTGTGGATTGCATTGACTGTTGAAGATGCGTTTAGGCTTGACCACCACTGGCTCTTTTCCAGCCTGAATCAATGCCAGCTAACATTGACCAGGCATACGCAACACATGTCCTGACCATCTCAATCGATGTAATTTCACAGCTTTGTCTATTGATTTCTCTTGTTTACCTAGCACACAACGCCTAACCTCAATATCGCTCACCCTATTATACCATTTAACACGGGAGGTAGAACTCAGACACTTATGATCCAAGACATCTAGCCAGCCTTTTCATGTCTTCCACTCTCAATGGCCAGGTCCTACGGCATTAAGAAAGACAGAGTGGACTGCTGAGAGATACACACTCAAGAATTAGAGAACTACTGAAAAACAGTTGTTTTGACGTAATTTAAGTCTCTTTGGCGGGATGCAAGTTGTCGTTGAGTCGGACATCAAAGACAAGATCCTACCGTCGACAGAATCATTGTATATATACTACTACACTTGCTCTTGTAGATTCAGATAGCCAAACCGTATCAAAAGGACTTTAGCTGCATGCTGTCATGGACAACTGTCAACATGATTATCTGAAATAGGACGTTGAATTCTCAGCAGATATATTATTTACTTATTATTATTTCCAGTCATGCAGCATTAGCGAACTTCATTCAGAGCTGTACAAATAGATTATGATCGAAATGGTTAAACCGATTTAGCTTACAACTTCATGCAATATGAATAGAGAGTAGCCTGAACTTTATGTCTGGTAGCCTTTTACCCATTCTCCATGTAACCAGCTAGTAGTTAACTTTCTAGATTTCATATGGTTATTGACTAATATTTACTGTTGGCATCTAACTGACAGTAACGTCTGATCATTGTCAAGCAATCAAATATGTACGCTAAACAGATTGAATAGGCAACTATTTAAAGAGATATAGCTGTTGACTTATGAATAGTTGCTATTGGAATTGTAGTTACATCAAAGGTAATGATGAAATTATCGGATGAGTTTTGTTAACCTTTCCGCGAAATTAAAAATGAATCTTTCAGGTTTTTTGTACGCCCTTTGTATTCCTCGTTTAGTAGTTTTGTTTGCACATTGCTTGATTGAAATTTTAGTCATTTGTTACACTTTCCAGTCCTTTTTGTTTGCTGGTGGTTTTATTTCAGCAGATTACAGCTAGATTGCTTAAATTCAGTTACAGTTAAGATGTTGATATCTACATCGCATTCAGGTAGGCAGCTTGTAGGCCAGCTAAACCGTGCGTTAAAATGTTGCCTTCGAAATTCAAGTCATATATCCTGAGTGCAAATTAAGGCACACTTTTCCAGAAAGCTGTTTCGATTATTATTTGTCTCCTACAAGTCCATTCCCTAATGTCTTGTTACACCTACTATGGATGCCCTCACCATATCTTCATATTTTATTACTCCTCCACTGTTCAGGGTGGTTGTGGAGACTTTTTGTGATGAGGGCTGGCTGGCAGCCGAAATTGGTAGACGGTGATTTACGTCAATGTGTACGTCCCCAATATGGGTCTTGAGAAAAATAAGAACAAAGATTGATTCAATAACCAATCACAGCAGGCTTTGCGTAGGCAGATACAATTTGTAGATAGATAATTTGAACTTCAAGAAACGATCACAAACAGATGAAAGATTACTGTTCAGCGATAAATCACCAATCAGGTGACTGTGTTCGTTTGCTTACAATAATCTACAATAATGTACATGAAAATAAATATATAAATATCTGTTGATTTCCTGAATAAACGCTCTGTTGCCTAGACCTTGTCTTCTTTTGTTACATTTTAATAAGCTTGCGTTTGATTGTGTTGTGTTTAGAAATTTCAGAAACCTCATGCTTTTACTAATAATCGCAGAATCCTAATCAAATTCTTAAGCAAAATATGTATACGTAATCAGAGAACAAATGTCTCAATTGATATAATGGTGTGTCACTCGATTTAAGTATGTCTCTCCACTATTTGAATGTCAGAAAAATAAAGATGAGTGTTTTCATGGAAGCAATGTCATTGAGGAGTGAATAGATTGTCTAACCTTGGCAGTGTGAATATGTTTGTCAATGACCAGTGAAAAATCTAATTCGATCTTCGATAATGAGTAAAACATTGAACCACTTAAAATCACTGGCAAACAAGTTTATATTCCTTTACAATTCGCATTTGTAAATATTGTTACAAAATAGTCTCCCCATCTCTTAAAATGTTTATTTTCCAAGTTGTTTACTCCATGTAAACTGTAAGATTATTTAAGCAAAGTTTGTCTACAAAGTGATGTTGTTTTAGTTGTGAAAGAAAAATAAACCTTAATCATACTGAACTGCTCAACTTCCAGGTAATACTTCCTTCTTGTTTGCATAAACATCGATTTTAAATATTTAGGTGATATTATTTATTGCTTACAAATAGAAATGGTTTTTCAAATACGTGTACTATTTTTAGCCAACAAAATAAATCGTTTTTATGTTTCGGAGAAATTGTATTTCATATTTCAATTTCATCATGTCTCTATTATTTGTCATTAATTATTCTCCCAATCGAGATCCATGGTGAGCTCATTCCTAATTCATTGTTGCTGATGATTTAAACCTAGAATGAAAATGTTAACTTCATTTTTTCACTCATTTTACTTATACACGTTTTTTGTTTTCCTCCAAGTTCCCGTGGTAACGCATCTAAAAAGCAGCCCCATGTATCAACTAGTCGGTAGCAAAGCGCTTTCCTGCAAAAAAAGAAAATATTTGGGAAAGCAGTGAAATTCACATCAAATTATGTTATCGGTTATTTGTAATCATTAAATAACGAATAAATATTCTTCAGTACTTATTATCCTTCCTGTTTCCAAATGTTTTCCAAGAGACACAGATTTTACAGTGATAAGTCGGGAAAAATCGATTTGGCTTAACTTTAAATTTTTCATAATAATATCAAAAATCTCGCCTAGATTATTAGCTCGCTAGTTTGTAGCTGGTCTCAAGCCCGGATAAAGAGGGAGGTTTGGGGCCTGTTGTTAGTAACTCCACCCCCAAAACTTAACCAAACTGCTACAAAAACTTCAACGCATTGAAATATTTCCAACAGGTTATAGACCTTTACCAACAATTGTCTTCGCTTTATACTGAAGAAACTATTGGAATAAACAAAACAAGAACCAGTTGCCCAAAAACTACGCAGGACAAATTGGAGATGGACTGGACACTCGCTGAGGAGGTCACTGAATGACATTGGGCGTCAGGCCATCACTCGAGTGGAACTAGGCCGAAAGAGAACTGGCGAGTGGGTCGTCAGTGCAAGGGTGACATGGAGGAGATCGTGCGAAGAGGAGTTGAAACAGTATGGGCTGATATGGTTGCAGTTGAAAAGTACAGCAGAAGACAGAAGTAAGTGAAGACGTGCAGTTGAAGTCCTATCTGCCACTCGGAACCCAAAGGAACAATAATAACAATAATAAAAAACTAACAAACATTCTTAAGTATTCACCATACTCCGTGTTTTCGACTGTTGCCCAACTAACATTGATAAGTATGGAAAAAACGAACTGGTTTCACTTTAAAGTTTTTGCATCTTAACTTCAAATTTATAGTTATTGTATTGGTGGCGGGTAGTAATCAAATCAAAAACGTACATCATATCAATCGAAGTTATTCTCAGGTGACTGAAAATGATACTCAAATGAATAATTATATAATTCTTAAGTTATGCTTTACTAAATTATAAGACTTAAGTGGGTTAATAAACATCAAATTATAAGTGACAGCTTTTCGGACGCCATAGGCATTCATACGAATATGAATCTCACAGATTATTACTTCATGAATACTTTTAGTTATCAGAACGTCTCTCCGCTTAGATGCTACATACTCATAATCAAATGGGAAGTTAAATGAGACATTGTAAAAATATTTTCAAGTAGAAGTTTTACATTCGCTTAGAACTTGGGGGTTATTCTAAATAAATTCTCGTAAAATTGTTGCGGTGCGTTGTGAAACATGATGAAATACGCATACAACATCTTGGCCTATTTGGATTCCAGAGTTTTGAATTCCAAGTAACCGCATGACATTATTCAAATTACTTGTCATGAAATCACACACTCAGGCTGTTGGAATCCACCAGTTGGCGATGAAAATGGAAATTCCGAAGATTTAGGAAGGGGAATTAGGCTGGTATAAGTTTACAGGATTCTTGTACGTTTCCAGTAGGTGACACTTGATGAATTGGATTAACTAATTCAGTCAGTGGCGGTTGAATAATGTATGATTTCACTTCAGATAAGTTTTTCATGGTATTTGGTCATCCGTAGTTACATAGCAGAAACATATGCCAAAATGCTGTGAAACGAATGAATACCGGAACAAACTCACCAGATATCAATAATAAACATTCTAGGGGTTACACAGATTTTGTTTAGAAATTGCAAGCTCAAATACAAACGTGGTGAATAGTGTGTTCTGTTTTCCAGTCAAAAGTGTGTTGATTGCTGCGTCTTAATCCCACGTCCATCATGATCATTTATACAAGTGCCTCACTGCCACTTCAAATGCTCATTCAGTCTTACCTCATGTTATATTTAAGAGTAAGTGGTTAAAAACAATGTGTCATTTGATCTGGATATTAAACTGGATACCTGATCGATGTGGTTTTGTTCGTCAAACGTGAATGTAGACAGCTACATCGTTTGTCGTCGGAAGACAAACTTATACTCAATATCCAGTTTGTGACACCATTAGAGTTTTCTTGTTCCAGAAGTCTTCAAAACACCACTTACAATATCGACACCTTTTGATCACTGATTTGAGGAACAATCGATTACACCGTTAACCTTCTGATTAACATGTAATGTGTATAATTCGGTTCTACAGAAAGCAGGTTTTAATTCGGCGAATGTTATAGGAGTAACCGCTGACTTGCAATTGAAACAGTGCAGTTTCGATGCATAGGGAAGGTGTCACGTTTACGAGGCTTTCACATATATCTTGCTCATGAACGCTAACCAAACTTAAGTCTGTGCTTTGAACTTCCTGCCAGTTTTTCCCTAATAACGACAGTTATTTCGATGTGCCTGGAGTAAATTCAATCAACTATGACAAAGGAGTTATATGAAAAGCGTCAACACTTTTTTCAACAGTAATTCAGAGATTCAGCATAAGATATAAGGAAAATGGTTCCACTGTCAAAAATGCAAAACCACAGTGTTCTATAGACTTCATAACATTTTATCACATTTCAGACTGATAGGTTTGTGAATCTTTTTCATAGACCTTAGAATTCCGAGTGAGTGCAGCTTGAAGATTAAATTGAGAAATGTCCCGAAAAACACTACGGTTAAGTCTTTTTCGTCTTCTACATCCTTCCCATGTACTACTATAAATTTACAAGTAAACTTCCACTTTGTGGAATGGATACACAAATATGTAACTTATTCGAAACAACTACCTCATAATACACAATCAATTCGGAAATAATTCGTTATTTATCAAGGCATTATTTAGTAGTCAATTGAATTCTGAAAACAAATCTTGGAGTTTTTTATTTGCGACAGACACCTTTGGAATCCGTAGCGTTAAAAAGTCCCAATGACAGGCATTCCTTTGCTGTTGACAGGAGAATCTATTCAATTAGGTTAATACAATAGAGCCTATCAACCCGTTTAATTACTTTGATTTCATATTGAAAAGTTTCAGATGAAATCGCCAGTGAACAAGATAAAGAAGAGAACTGTGGAATCTTTTCGAGTTATTCACACTGATGTGTTTATAGTGTGAGAAATATATAAATGATATATTAATCTTCGATGTTTACGATAAACATTTTTAAATATTGATCCATATTTACTGAAAGAACATTTTATATGTAACTGTTGTTGCACTTACTTCAAATCGAAGATAACTGTACACAGAATAAAGAAGTTTTGGAATGAAGTGTTGAATACGTAGGACAAAATGAAGTGAAATGCTGAACTAATCACCAATCTTTGCGTATTATGATGCCTCTAACACTAAGTGACTAACTCCCTGATAAAGAATGACCTGAGGTTGTAATAACTGGATGACAATTTTATTCTAAAAATCATATGAATGTATCCATACGACCAAGTAACTTGCTTTACTTGGCTTGATTCCCTCTTCTATCCAGGCACAATTTTTTATGTATTCGGGGTCGATGTTATCAAAAACCTGTCCACTTTCGACGTGTTACATTCCCTTTTGTAATCGTATGTAACGGCACAGCAATTTCATGTTGATATCTATAGTAAACCACTTTGGTCATGCTACAATTTGTTCCATCACTCTTCGTGACATTATAAAATTGGAGTTTCTGTTGGGAGGGAGGAACCCCTCATTTAAGGCTACTGTTATGTAAACACTTGTTTCTTGATTCATGGTTCAATACTGAGTGCAGCATACTCGATTCTCCTAAGGAAGTATCATTCCCATGCAGGTTGGGCATTCCCATTCCTGAGGAATAGGAGTAGGCTTGAAATCTACACTCTGGACAACTATCCGACTGACTCCGAACACTGAATAAGCATCATTCAGTATCCATACTGCCGTGACGTAAAGACATCATCCAAATTGGTAATTTTGACAGTAATCAATAGTGATTTAATCTAACTAGTAAGATATTCTTTTTGATTGCGACAGGAAGTGGATTTTCCACAACATTCATGCATGTAGCTAACAGAGAGTGAACTGGTCAACTGGCATATATCAAAACTGTGTGTTCTGTGTCTTAACATCAGCCGCTTATCACAAACGTTATCAAGGATGAAATAATGAAGCATGATGTTACATGCCAGTGATTCACATGATCTAACTGCACAATAGGTGAGTGTTGTTAAAGTGCATATATGCTTCGTAACTAACAAGTGGGAGTTTTGTCAATTGGCATAAATGTACTTGGTGAATTACATTTGCATGATATCTTGAAAAACGTTCACTTACCACCCATTTGACCTTGAGCTGAAGGATCACAGTAAATTTTGAGTAAACAGATCAAATGGCACTTGTGAGCACGTAAAAAATGTAAAAGTGCATGTTCGTCTTTGCGATTTTTCGTTGATTATTTTGACCTCATCATTCATCCATCATTCAGGGAACCTATGAATTGGCTGTCTGAGAAGCCTTACTGCGAAAACACAACTCAGTTTCCCCCCCACCCTCGGAAGTTCAGTTAAACTGACCTCCCTCTCATGAATCCATATCTAATCAGATAAACCCACATACGGTAGCTGGTAGAATTTGTGGTAACCAAGTGAACACGAAACTGTTTTATGGACTTGACAGCGGTTTTCCAGCTGAATGTATCAAATCATCAATGGAGATCTTTGGTTTACAGTGTTTTCGTGATTGATGTTGACTGGCTACTAGATCTACGTTCAAATTAACCCCACCACCTGTGTCTACAGCTAGCAGGTTCATATATGAGAAGGTAACTTCAACGTCCTCTGACAAACAAATAGTGTTAATGTAGGATAACCAGGATCCATCTTAATTTGCACCAATATTCATCCTTCCTCTTTCCAAATTTTGAATAAATAATTCAGGCATGAGATCAAATGTCAGTAACTGGCGCCTTTATGAGCCACACTTGTGATTTGAAATATTGTAGGAATGAGGGAATAAGAGATATAGAACTTGTGCGCCTAATATAAGCTGTTTTCTTCTTTTCGCCTGATACTTCAATGTTGGTACGAACTTTCACCTCATCTTAGATTTAGCTAATACACCTGACGCATGACTTTTTGTGACTACATTATCAGTTGGTGATATAGATCTTTTGTGGAGTGATGAATGTGAGAATCATTTTCCAGAGTATAATCAAATTACGCTGTCACCACTATTATCAATACTCTCTTAAACGTACTATTGACTTCATTCAATAGAATTGTGAGAAATATGATAGCAAATTCAAATACTGAAATACTGAATCCCATCACCCCGACGTGAAGTGAATCCAGTAGTATGGTATTCTATCTGATTAAGACAGAATTCGAATTTTCCACTGCCGCAAAGGTGAACTGATCAATTCAAGTACATCAAAACATTAACAAACAAAAATCAGCATAAATGGGAGGAACCTGAAAGAAACAACCTCCATTGCCCACCGACCTGGGAAGCATCGTCTCAACTACAGGCGGACGGAACTGACGAGGATATCAAAGCAAGACAGGCTTTCATTAATCTCAAGTCTATGTGAAGGCGAAAAGCACTCAGCATCAAAAATAAGATCTGGATTTTCTACTCCAATGTGAAGTCAGTGCTACTATACGGATTGGAGATTTGGCGCGTCATAAAGAGCATCTCAAAAAAACTACAAACCTTCATCAACAGCTAGCTGTCTTCTCTCAATACTCAAGATCAGATCGTATACCTGCGAAAGATGAACTGATCAACTAAAATAAATCAAAACTGTGTGTACTTTGCCTTAAAATCAGTCAATTCTTATCTGCGTTCTGCAGGATAATATAATGAACCTTTATGTTAGATGCGAAACATTCACAGGATCTTACTACACAACAGGTGAGTGTTGTTGAGATTTATATATACTCCATTACTAACTAGCAGGTGTTTCATCAACTGCGATCAATGTATTAGATGAATTGCATTTGCATGATATCTTGAAAAGTGTTCACTTACCAGCCATTTGACCTAAAACATGAAGAGAATACAGTAAATTATGAGTAAAGTGATTCTTCGGTAACTCTGAGCATGTAGAAAATTTTAAGGGTGCATATTTGCCTTTGCAATCATCTGATTATTTCAACCTCATCAGCCAACCTTCATTCAGGGGACTTATGGATTGGCTGTGTGAGAAGATTATTTGCGAAAATACAACTCGTTTTCAATAACCATCAAAGATCAATTGAGTCAAATTCCTCAACAAGAATCCGTAGTCAGCCATATGATAAAGCCCACATCTGGTAGTTAGTGGCATTTGTGCTATCGATAGACTAAACTATACAGAGAGAAGCCAAGTGAATGGGAAACTTTCTCATGCACGTGTAAGGTGTTCTCCAGCAGAATATATGACATCAAAATTGGATCCCCTTGATGTACATTGTTTCCATGACTGATGTTGACTGGCGACTGAAATTGAGTTCAAATTAACTGCACCCCATGTGTCTTTAATTAGTAAAGGTAACTTTGATGTCCCCTGACAAACAAAAGGAAATAATAGTGAAGAACAACCTAGACCCATCTTACTTTACACCAATATTTATTCATATTTCTAAGGAAACATTCACGTATTAAATGAAATGTCGGTTGCTGGCATCCATATCAGCCACATATATGGTGTTAAATGAGCAAATAAAGGTTACATAACATGAAACCCATTTTTAAGCTGTTGCTTTTCACTTAATATGACACCTCATCCTACATTTAGCTTATACACCTCACGGCAAGTTTGTTATGACCACATAATCAGTTAGTGATGGCAGTCAAAATAGCTTTTCAGCGCATAACCATATTATATTGTCAAAACTATTATCAATACTCTCTTAAACCTACCATTGACTTCATTCAATAGTATTGTGAGAAATAAGATAAGAAATCCAAGTTGTGAAATACTTAATCTCATCATTTCGAAATGCTTCGTTATCTAAGTGTTTGTGAGAAGAGGTACTGATCAGATTCTCACTTTACTGTATGGTATTATGCATGTTTACGAATGACATGTCTATATCACGATCCTTGTTGCGCTGGCGAACTATATGCCGAACACTCTCAATTGGTGATGAGTGGATTGTGTTATGTCACTGTTTACTTTGTGTTTATTATTTGTATTTCTGATTGATTACTTAGAGTTTCGTAACTAATTGTCGGAAATACCTGCCCAAAAATCTATAGTTTATATAACTGATTTGCACTATTCAACTTTAAATAAAGAATGAGTAAGATTTAATTATCTATGATTTAGGAGTTTGAACACGCAGAGCACGTATCATACTCCACACACACTGTAATCTTTGACAACTGTGAAACTTCAGGATCCATCTAAATTCCCAATTCTCCTTCCTGCTTTTATTTGAACAAAACTACGAGATACTCACAGCAGAGTTAAACAAAGTTGAATAATTTAACGACAAACATGAAGTTATTCACACATTTCTAGAGAACGGTAATCAACTAACGGAACAATATTTTTGTTAAGACAGATATTAGACTTCTTTGTGTCAAAAAGTAGAAAATTTGGCTTCAGTAGGACAACACCATCTAAATTTGTTCTCTTCAGTTTTTCTTAGCCGACTCCACGTTTGCAAATAACATTTCTCTTCCTCTTTGTATGATCCATCTACGTTCAACTTGTATCTGCTTACTGAAGTTCCATTCGACCTGGTGTATGATATCCCTCGACGGTCTACTCAGCGTTCATTGAATACATCTGCGGTTTTTTGATGGACAGTTTCTCAAATGATCCGTTATCAGAGATCCTTGCTCAACCTTTCCAGTCATCTGATTTCCAGCATGAAGAGGTGACATATGCTAATGAACATCTGAGTCACGTTGAAAATAAAACAGATGATTTAAATAACACCCTAATTCTAACCCTTCTAAGAATCTTACACAGGGATTCTGACGCTCTTTCTTTATCAGGCTATTCTATCTAGATTTGAAACTAAATTATTTCTATTTATAAACTGACTTTTTATTTAACTGACATCCTGTCACTTTATTATGTTAAATTCCTAGTGGAAGGTAGGGCTCACTGTTTAGATAAACATTTCACTAAACTTTCCCTTAGCCATTCTGGTTGAGATGAATAAAGTCGAGTTGATTTTTACAGTCTGTCATTTCTCCATAGGTTCTGATATCTAACAAGGAATCCTGCACTCGTTTCAAGACGCCCTCTAGGATAGCTAATTCTGCGTTCTCATTTATGAACTAGAAAAAGAATGGATTACCTTTTATCTCTGTGTTTACATGTGTATGTCTGTGTGTGAAGAAATTATGAAATTATTCCTGTATCACTGTGGTTTCAATCAAATAAGTAACTATATTATGTCAACCTCATAACTGATACCAGTATAGATGTGTGTATAAACATCACTTGAAAAAATGAATGTATGAGTCCTCTTCACAACTAAAATGTGATTTTACCTGAATACCCCAAATTAACTCATCCTAAAAATCCTGAAAATTGTAACAAAAGGCATCATTTATACCTATGAGCTTTCTCTTCCTCTAAACATGATCTGTCTCTTTCTCAGAATTATGTCTAACCTGTAGTTCCTTCTTCAAGTGAACATGGATAAAACAAAAGATTCCTGACCGACACCAACAACAACAACAACAACGGACAACAATTAGCACAAATGTAAGGAACCTGAAAGAAACAAACTCATTTACCCATACACCTACCTACCTGGAAAGCATCGTTTCAAGTACAGGCGAACGCAGCTGACGAGGTTATCAAAACCAGAATCAGGAAAGCAATACAAGCTTTCATTACTCTCAAGTCTGTGTGGAAGGCAACAGCAGTCAGCATCAAAAATAAGACCCAGATTTTCAACTCTAATATGAAGTCAGTGCTACTATACGGATTGGAGATTTGGCACGTCATAAAGAGCATTTCAAACAAACTACAGACCTTCATTAACAGTTGTCTTCGCTCAGTACTCAAGATCAGATGGCTGCCTAGAAAGGATCAGCAACAAGGAGTCTCCGGCAATGAGCGAATCAACACAGCTGGAACCGATTGTGAAACAAATAGGTAGAAAGAAATTGAGATGGATTGATGGCCATACTCTGGGAAATCCATTAGGCGACATCACTAGACAAGTACTCCTGTGGAACAAGAATGGGAAGCGGCGAGGTGGTCGTCATTGCAGGGGTGGGGTGACTTGGAGGAGGTCATGTGAAGAGGAGATGAAAGCATGTGGGCAGATTTGGAGTGGGGTGAAAGTGTTGGCAGAAAATCGAAGGCAGTAGAGATGAGCAGCTGAAGCCCTATGTTCCTCTAGGAATTAAAGGATATAATAACAATAATAATGTAGTTCCTTACTCATGTTTCACTGGAGGGTCTCGCGTGCGATATACGTCAACAGTCTACTCAGCGTGCAATCAATGTATTTCCAGTTTGCTTGTTTCTCGGTTGGATCGTTGGCAAAGATCTTGTCTCAACCTTTCAATCCATTTGATTTCCAGTATATAAATTAGAAACATAATATTATTACTGTACCCTCGTGTGTTCAATTAAATTAACTACTCTATTATGTCAACCTCATGACTCATATCACTATATATGTATATATATATATATCACATCGTTTTATACAGACATATATAAGTCCATTTAACAAACAACAAACGTAATTCCACATGAATGCCTCAAAGCAGTAATTAATCCTTTCAAATCATGAAAATTATATCTACAGGCATCATTTACACCTATGAAAGTTAGGCGTAATACAGCCTAATACAAGTCGGTTGTAATCCAGAAAAGTTCCTTTGATAAATGAGAAAATATACAACGAAACGTTTGATTGATAACTGCCACTTACAGAAAATGATAAAAGCACATTTCAGTTTTCTAACGCAGATTCATGTAAAGACAAGGTGTTACTCTCTATTATTCGTGGATAAATCATGTATGAAACTGGATCTCGAAGTAACTAGGTATAAATGCGTGTATGAATATCAACTCGCGTGAAATAAAAGCGATCAAAAATGAATATTTTAACCACAGCGCACAAAAATAATAACAGAAAAGCCTACTATGCAAATGTGAAATAAATAAGCGAAGCTTCGTAGATTATGGATAGCTGATACGTCTGGAGGAGTTATATCACATTTTGGAAATAATTACTTGTACCGGTAATACATAAACCTAGGAAGTTTTCAAAGTTCCCTTTAGTCTACTTCATATTTCACAGGTAAGCAATAGAGGAAATAAATGCTTTTGTTCATGAAAATTGCTGGCAGTGTCGTTATGAGTAAAGATTCTAACAGTCAAATATGCTTCGCGTTATACATACTGAAATGGATTTTGAAATCAACTGCAAATGCACCACTCCAAACCTGTAGGCATAACATTGCTCCAGAAGCCGTTCGTAATTTATAAGTCATAACCTATTGAAATTATTTCGGAATGAAATTGGTTTTGTTTGTAGAGAGCATTCACAATTCTGTCACTGAAAGAAAGTCGTTTGATGCATATCATTCATGGCCCATACATATGAGTTGAGTAATTAATCCATGAATATCAGGGGTGAAGGAAGGAATAAAGGCGCAAAAAGGCGATACAGCTTATGATTATGAGCTCACCACAGTACTCAATCAAAATGTGCATTTAAAGAGAACAGAAGATTAATCCTTTCAAATTTATTAAAGAGTCTGACAGTCCAGTTTCTAATCCTCAATATGTACATTGAAATGACCTGGTTTCTTTCCAAATAATGCGTAAGCCGGGTCTCTTGAGGTTTCGAAATAACTCCTCAATGAGTTTAATTATAATCCACTCTTAAGATGAAACTTCTAATAATCCTCTAAATGAAACACTACGTTTTTGATATCCACTTAAAGAAATAAAAACATAAAAATAACAACCGTATGTAAAGGAATCTCTACATTTTCTGAATTCACCGCATAAACGCTTCTATTTTTTTCAGAACTGAAGTGTGCAATATATCACAGTCAGCAGATATCTAGAATTAATTATTACTTCCATAATTTAATATATGGCAATGATTATTTCATATCAGTTTAAAGACAACTTATCGCATAAAATAACAAGTGTCTTCATGACTGTTTGACAGCTGAAGATCCATACATCGTTGCTTATTAAAGCAATCTTGACTGACAAAAGTAAGCCCATAAATGCATCAGTCATTTTGTAAGAGACAGTTGTCGTGAAGATAGATGATGGCCTTAATGCAATCGTCAGCATTACTGACCTTCGAGTAAAAGCACTTCCACTCACATGTGCTCACAACGGCCAGTTCATATTCAAGATGTCATGGCTGTGTGGTCACTGTCACGTCAAGTTTGACACCTGAGAAATAGTCTGTTGAAGTAGACTATTGATACTTCTTTTCTATTGAAAAAAGTATGTTGATGATACGTTTTGCATTCATGAGAATATGTTTGACCTAAATAATGTTGACCGTGCTTGGGATAATTGTTATCAACTACACTACTCAAAGAGGATCTGGACAGACAATATCATTCCTGGACCATCGACTAACAAGAGAGGCTGATGTGACACTGAACACATCAGCAATAGGGAAATACTAGCACGAAACCTAGGTCCAAGGCTTCCTGCCGATTGTCTCCAACCATCTAATAGAGAAATACTACCAGGAATGGTCAGCTGACAAAGTTTGACCACCCCTTAATTGCAAACAAAAACTATTGAGATATCCTGCTACTTGGACCTGAAGAGAAGTTCAAGCAGCTCACTTATTGTGCATCGGTGGCACAGTGATTAGGATTCTCGCTAACCATGCACATGGCCCGAGATTCGATCCCCTGCCGACGCACACTTGATATCTATGGTCAGTCTGCAAAATTTGGCCTACCGATATCCATGCTGAAAATTCCATACTTGTACCAAAAATACAGTGTGTAATCAAGCTGTAATCAAAAATATAAAAAATATAAAATGACCATCTCTCAAGCCTTAAAGATGAACTAGTAGAACCAAAACTTAAGAGATCAAATCCCATCTATGCACACAAGCAGCTGTTATAA